AAGATGGAGATGATGAGTGTGCAGGATGAAGCTTGAGGCTGTGCCTCTGGAGCCCACCCCTGGCTGACTGCAGGCCTCAACGTGCGCGCACGTAACCCAGGCAGGGCGAGCTGCAGGGCCAGCAGCTGGGTTCCTGGCCTTTGTTTTTAGTGGCCAGCCCAGCCCAAACCAGGCCAGAAGAGCCTCATCAGCCATCCCAGAGGCAGCAGGGAGGTGACACCTGCTTGAGCTGGCGTGGTGAGGCCGTGGTACCCACCAGCAGCAGCCCAGCTAGAAGCCTCTGCAGCCAAGTGATGGGTCGACACCCAGACCCTACGCTGGGACAGAGGACAAGGGCCAGGATCAAGTTCCTTTGGAGCTGTGAGCGTAGGAGGTGCCGTCTCTTCTCTATCACACCACACTATGAGACAGGATGCTGGAGGTCCCCCTCTGTTTTCTCTTTCTCAGATGAAGCCAGCAAACCTAGTGAGAAGCTTCCATCTCCAAGTCCCCACAATTTGGGGGAGGATGTTGGGATGGAAAAAAAACCCAACAAAAAAAACCCAACCACCTGAATTGCACCCACCCCACGCATGACTGGAACCATATGAAAAGCAGTTCCTTAATGGTATTGGTCAGTTAAGGACAAAAGCCCATCCCAAACTCATTTCTAGGTTTAACAAGCAAACAAAAAGCCTTCAAGGGCCATCTATTGAATTGGCAATTGGCAAGAAAATGATGTTGTGGTGTTGAACCAGCCACTTCTCTTGCACGTAACCCTAAGTATTAACCACTCTGTTAGAGCTCAGAAGCCAAAGCAGCTACCCCTCTCCCAGAAGCCAGCTTACTATCAGAAATACAAATACTGCTTATTTGATGTTTCAAAAGACTGGGGGAAACACTCATAAGTACGGTTCATTCATCTTTTCTAAGAATTGCTGCTGAGCCAACTGAAACACTTGTGCGTAGACAGCTTTAAAAAAAAAAAAAGAAAAAAAGAAATAAAATCAAATGTGGCTAGTCGTTACTTGTTCACATTGCTGATGAACTGACTACCAGCATCTGGCAGCCATAAAGCCCTAGTTTATTTTTTTATATTTTTGAGGTACTGGGGTTTTTTTTCTCTCTGAAGCAGCTCTCTAGCGAATCACCTAAAGCCTATCCCTTGGAACAACACTTACACCCCTATTTACATGTCTCTGAACTGTGCGTTCAGACCAGCCTTGCTGTAACCAGTCCCTACATCCTTTGGAATCACTCCCGGTCTCCTTTCTGACAGGAAAAAAAAAAAAAAAAAAAATGGTCTCCCTCCAGAGGTTGGCTCAGTGTCAGGGCTAAGGTGCACTGGTGAGGACGTGGGGCATGAGGAGGGGAGAACAAAACTAGCTTTGATGGGTCGGAGCCTCTTTCAGTGGAACCAGAAAAAGGGGTTGACACCAAAAGAGATTCTTTTTTAAAAAATACCACTGAAAGGATGTGCAATCCACTGCATAGAATTGTGAGGGAAAGAGCTTTGAAATGTTCTGCCCTTCTCCAGGAAAGGGGAGGAGAAGAAACACAGCCGTACACGCAGTCTCCTCGGGCAGGTGCTCACTTGGCATTTCACGGCCGTATGAATCTAGTCACTGCCTTCACACTGAAGCCTCACGTTTCTTCCCCCTCCCCTCCCCCCCCAAACCTTTTTGCCCAAAGTTTGTTCTTTTCAGATTCACAGGGACCTCAAATGCCTGGAGGGGGGAAGCAACTCCGATAAGAGTCCCACAAACCTGCTGCCCCTCAGGACACTTCAATGATCTCCATGCTGCCCGAAAAGCTCGACTGACTGCCTACTTTCCCCAGTTCTTCTCTGGACCTGTTGTCGGCCATGATGCTCTCCCCGAACTCCATCTGGCAGCTCCTGCGCTTGAACTGCTTTTCGAAAGAGCTCTCCTCGTGCCAGCTCCTCCTGGAGTCCCCTCGGTCCCCCTGCTTCGGCCTCCTGCGCACGGCAGAGGCCTGGTCGCAGCCCGTGGGCAGCTGGCTGCAGCTGTAGGCAGAGTAGGCCGCGCTGTTCCCGTAGATGGCGGAGGCAGAGTAGAAATGGGAGGACTCCGCCGCAAAATACCAGCTGTTGGTAAGGGACGTCGATGTCTGAGGAGCCAAGATGTCCGAGTGCCAGCCTTTGAGGCCCAGCCCGGCGGCAGACTTTGCCAAATGCTGCTGGCTGGTGGAGAGGCCAAACAAGAAGTTCGTTCGGTAGTTGTCTTCCACGCTGCCACTGCGGTGCAGGGGGTAGAGGAGCGACCGCTGAGCGGTGGCCCCGCTGCTGGCCCTCCCCAGGTGTTGCCGTTTGCTCTGGCTGTCCAGCTGCCAGGTGGTCTGGGGTTCCTTGGGAGGGTTGGCTTCTTCTTTATCAGGGCTGGTTTCTGGGGTCTGCTCCGAGACCTCCTGCACAGGGGAGAACTGACACAACTTGCCGCTGCCCTCTAAAGCCGCCGTGTGTTTGTAGTACTCCAGGGTGTCCTCAGAGGAGGCGAAGCCCTGAACCGACGCGGTCACGCAGTTGCTACCGGCTGAGTAGGACACAGATTTGATATCCAAAGAAAAGGAGCGCTTCAGGCGGTTGCTGTCCTCCACCTTGTCCAGGGAGACGTGCAGTCCGTTTATGCCCTGTACCAGCGGGCCATCTTCCAGAGGGGACAAGTGGGCACCGCCGCAGTCCGTGGCCTTCTGCTCCACCATCTCGGAGGTGGCGGTGATGCAGAGCTGGTTGGCAGAGAGGCTGCTCTGCCCACCTTCTGGGAGCAGCACGTGCTCGCTGCTTTTTTCCAAATGCAGAAGTTTCAGCTTACTGATATGCCCGGGCTGACTGCTCTGGTTCTTGATCTTTTTCTCAAAGTCCAAAAGCTGGCCCAGAAAGTTGAAGTTGGGAGAAATGGTCGGCCTTTTTTCTTTGACAAATCTGGAAAGAGGGGACAAACAAAACAAGAATTACTTTAACGCCCTGCTGCTCAGACCTGAGGTAACCCTACAGCGATTGTTGTGAACGTTAACAGCCTAATTTTAACTCGTCAGGATGCTGGGACTAAGGTTTAGTCAAGCACAGGAAATGCGGATGGAAAAAGAAAAAAAGGCAGCTTTCAAACAAGATAATTCTGGATGCTGTCGGTTCTCACTGTGGCTCACTTAAAGGCGGCTATGAAAGGGAAGACAAAGCATTCTTTTTGCCTCTTTATGATGTCCACAACAAGGTCTGAGGGAATTGTTTCCCTTCTTTTATTTTACCAGTGGGATCTCTACTCTTGAGGTTTCTGACCGAGGTTTAAGAGCTCCTCAAGTTCTGCAGGAAGAGCATCAGAGCTCCAGCCAGGAGACCTTAACCCCACCGGCGCTGCAGAAAGCAGACGTCTTCCCACCCTTCAAAGGGGTGAAACCCCCCGTTCCTTGCACCTCTCTCAGGCTGCTGTTACTGCAGTGAGTGCTTCCTGCCCTGGCGTGTCTTTGCCAGGCAAGGCAAAGAGCTCTGGTACACACCGACCTCACACAGCCTACACCAGTGACTTCTACCATACGCTGGTATTGACCACTGGTAATGACGATCAGAAAGAATACTGCAAAGGAGCAAATGCAGCATTAAACCAAAAATGCCCTCTCCAGTTCTGCGGGTGTCCAGCAGGGAAGGGCAGCAGTATTATCCAACCACTGGAAGAGTTAACCTATTCTGGAGTCCTGTAGGAAGCAGCCTGACGCGCGCACGCGTGCCAGTCTAAGCATGCACTTACACTTCAGTGGAATATGGACAAGGTGAAGGGCCTGGAAGACAGATCATATGAGGAACGGCTGAAGGAGCTGGGACTGTTTAGTCTGAGGAAGAGGAGGCTGAGGGGAGACCTCATCACTCTCTACAACTACTTAAGGACACTGTAGAGAGGTTGGTGCTGGTCTCTTCTCACAGGTAATTAACAATATAACGAGAGGGAACGGCTTCAAGCTCCAACAGGGGAGGTTTAGACTGAACATTAGGAAGGAATTTTTCACAGAGAGAGTGGTCGGGCATTGGAACAGGCTGCCCAGGGAGGGGGTGGAGTCACCATCCCTGGATGCGTTTAAGGGACGTTTAGATGGGGCACTGAGGGATATGGTGTAGGGGAGGACTTTGTAGAGTAGGGGAGATGGTTGGACTCGATGATCCCAAGGGTCTCTTCCAACCTGAATGATTCTATGATTCTGTGAGCTGGGACTGTTTAGTTTGAGGAAGAGGAGGCTGAGGGGAGACCTCATCACTCTCTACAGCTACTTGAAAGGACACTGTAGAGAGGTTGGTGCTGGTCTCTTCTCACAGATAATTAGCAATAGAACAAGAGGGAATGGCTTCAAGCTCCAACAGGGGAGGTTTAGACTGAACATTAGGGAACAATTCTTCACAGAGAGAGTGGTCAGACACTAGAACAGGCTGCCCAGGGAGGGGGTGGAGTCCCCATCCCTGGACGTGTTTATAAGAGTCATTTAGATGTGGTGTTGGGGGATATGGTATATGGGAGAACTTTGTAGAGTTGATGGTTGGACTTGATGATCCCAAAGGTCTTTTCCAACCTGAACGATTCTATGATTCTAAGGTGCAATGCATACTTCAAATGTTTTCCTCGAGACTCTAAATGTATGAAAGAATATTAGAAGTCGTGTCATACCCTTCAAAGTTAAATACAAAAGCAATACTTCCTACCTGTCTGATTTGCAATATAGCTAAATAAGTACTCTTTGCTTTTTAAAGGCTGTAAAACAGAAAGCTGCCCAAATCCTTCCTCCTCTTTTTTCTTTTTTTTTTTTTTTTAAGCATTCCTGGAACTATGAAGGTACCAGATGACAAGGGAATTAACAAGGGAAGAACCCTTGAAGAGCTAAATCTAGTACAAACACACACATATCACTGGGAAAATTAAATATTATTAGGAGGATCCCAAAGGTCTTTTCCAACCTGAACGATTCTATGATTCTAAGGTGCAATGCATACTTCAAATGTTTTCCTCAACTGAGACTCTAAATGTATGAAAGAATATTAGAAGTCGTGTCATACCCTTCAAAGTTAAATACAAAAGCAATACTTCCTACCTGTCTGATTTGCAATATAGCTAAATAAGTACTCTTTGCTTTTTACAGGCTGTAAAACAGAAAGCTGCCCAAATCCTTCCTCCTCTTTTTTCTTTTTTTTTTTTTTTTAAGCATTCCTGGAACTATGAAGGTACCAGATGACAAGGGAATTAACAAGGGAAGAAACCTTGAAGAGCTAAATCTAGTACAAACACACACATATCACTGGGAAAATTAAATATTATTAAAAGCAAGAAAGTCTCTCTGGGAATATGTACAGAAGGAGTCATTAAAAACAGTGTGAAAAAAATTCCAAGGTGTACTTGTGTATATATGTATATACTAGCACAAGTGCAAGCAAGCACATGAAAAATACCAAACAAAACTTACTACTTTTTTTTTTTTTTTTTTTTTTTTTTTTTTTTTTTTAAGTTGCCAAACACCAAACAATAGTAGGGATGGTTGAGCTGATGCGGTGACCAGGTAGGTCAGATTTCTCAAAGTGATAGTGGAAACTTCCACCGTGAAGTGCCACGACTGGCACGTGGAGAAAACGAACAAGGCTCCTCAGAAGAGGTTCTCCAGCTGGATCTCCTAGCGTTGGATTTGGGGAGCTTTTATTCCTGCACAAGTGATTTGCTCGTAAGAATTCATATAACCTTCATTCGTTCTTTTCCAGTCAAAGTTCGTTGTACTTGCTACTGGGTTTACTTTTTAAAGCAAGATCATTTCAGTCAACACTGCCATTTCTAGTGGGCTCTCTAAAATTCTGTTCCTTCCACTTTCTCCTTGTCCCACGCCCCAGATTTAATCCTAAATTTAAAACTAGCTTTTTAAAAAATGAAAAAGGTTACAAGCAAGTCTGCTGGACCCCCCTGACAAGTTTTAAGGCCTTGCAAACATTTTCATTTCAAAATGCATATTCTTTTTTCCAGTTGGAAAACTTGCGTAAGATTTCATTTTGATGTTTGTTATACAAAAGAAAAGATTAAAAACTTTTATTTCCTCAGATCTTTTGCTTCAAGTAACAGCGTCACCCTTTTGTAATAGTGTCAGAAAAGCATTTTATCCAATGACTTTAACTCAGAGGAAAGTATTTGCCAACAAGAGATCCCAACCCAGTGAGTGAAACGTGTTGCAGGCTGTTCTCACTAAGCCATATCAAAGGAAATACGGCAAAATATAATCTAAATTTCACAGTAGTGGTTCAGTATTAACAGTGCAAGGAAAAAAAGGCCTAGGTTGATTAATCCTTCACACTCAATTGACACTTCTGGTTAAGAAACAAACTAGAATTTAATGCAGAGGTTCGGCAGAGGAATTTAGAACTTTTAAATTTAGCACTTTAAAAGTTCTCTGAAGCCTGTGCCTTTTAGAAGCATTCAATATTCTGCAGCTCCAACCCCCAGCCCACTACAGCCCGAGAGCAGAGAGGTGGGGTTTTTTTAGTGACTCAAGCTCATGCCTTGCACAGTGTCCATCCACGTGCACTAATTCATCCACACTATCTATACCTATAACTTCCACCTACACCTCTCAACCAGACCTATTTTACCCTACGCGTTGAAATTAATTACTGCACAACACCAAACTGTCAGCAGGCTCTGGTAAGAAACCCTGGAACATATCTAAAGGCACTGGGAGATGGTTGTGGCTCAGGCACCTCTTACATGCACCTTTTCCACTGCAGACATTAATTATGTTCACCAGCCTAAAAGAAAATGCCCCTCGGAAAATCAGGCTCCACAAGGGAATATCTGATGCTCATCTTTCTGTCCTCATCTGTGTTTTAGAGACAGTAGTAGCCAACACGCTGGTGATGTGGAAGATGCTTCCTCACCCACCTGCTCCAACGCAAGGGTTCAAATTGCTTCTGCACCACGGATGTTATAGTGATGCATCAGCTCTGCCAACTTGCATATAAAGCCCATCAAAAAGAAAAGCATCATTTTCTGTATGAAACAACGGAGCAGGTCGTTAAATGAAATAGATAAATCGTGGTAAAGGGCAACCATGCCACCTGGGATCCGGTGAAGCCTTCACAATCCAAGTATAGAAACATGGGATGTAAAAGGTTAAAAAGGAGGGGCGGGGTGGGAGCGTGGTCCCACAAAAATTCCCTGACACTTCAAAATACTTTCCGGTTGAGTTTAATAGCAACAAAGAAGCCTTCTTAATTCCTAGATATTTCACCTGCAGGCAGTTCTTGGAGAGCATGACCAAATACCAAACTGAAGTCAACAGCTCCAGCCTAGCATTTGTCATAAGCGTGACTATAAATATCCTCAGTTCTCTTTCTTTAACCCTATCCATTCCATTCTCTCTCTGACTTAAATGGAATTTAAACCGCTTATTAAACGTGTGTGTATGTACATACATACACAGACGCAGCTATACCACACAGGTGACAATATCTTGTATTTGCCTCCTTGAAGTGAAGGCCTTTTGCAGGTGGGGAATTAACAAAAGGTGTGAGATGTCTACACACCTAATTTGTTTATGGAGGAAGCCGACATTTAAAACAGAAGTGTGCAGAGACCAGTGAAGCACCAGATAAAATAACACGTCTGCTTCTACCCTTGGTCATACAACCTTTCATTCTTCACCTTAAAAACAAACCCAACAGGCACGGGAATTGATATGAAAGGAAATGTTCTCCTTACCTGTAAGCTTCATCTAAGGACATATCCATTCTCTTCATGATATAGGCAATAGCGATTGTGGCAGAGCGAGAGATTCCAGCTAAACAGTGCACTAACACACGGCCATTTGATGCTTTTGCCTTTTCTGCGTTGCAAAGAAATTGGCAAGTGTCACACACGACGAAAAGTTTGCAAAGGAAGCAAATGTTATTTAAAATCGTTCAAAACTTCCAAATGGACTGCTAATCGCAAATCTCATGGAAGCTTTAAACAAAAATCGCTTATTTTCTCCAGCACTGGATAGCATTGAGTGTAGGAAAAGCGTGCGACCACCCACAGGAAACACACTGCAGTTACAGCATGCTGCATTTTAACGTGCACATAAACAAACCTATTTAGATGTCTGGGAAAGGTGATTGTTTCTAATTTTATACGCAAGTAAAAAGCAAGCATTCATGATGGAACAATCTGGCCAATTCAGATTTGGCTAGCTCACTTCCCAAAGCTAAAGACAGGATCTGTACATCAAATTTTATAATTTGCTCTCTGCGGGCATAGATCAGGCATCTGCCAGGTCACCAGAAAGCAGAGCTGTGCTCTTTAAAAGTGTCTTTGTTCCTCAAGTGCTGGAACAGGCAGTGGCAGAATCTCCTTACGTTATTTCGCTCCTGTGCTTACACAGCGATGGTGATCAAGTAGGTTGATCCTCAGGGTATTTTCATACCACCCAGAAAGCATTCGGGTCTTCTCCAGCCAAAACAGCAAGGCAGACACACAAAAGGAATCCAGAAACTGTTTTAGAGTGAGTAAATTTTCTTCTCACCTATAAAATCGACTGATTTATCCAACCAAGGCAAAATTTTCTCACAAAAGCTGTCGTTCACAGGCACTCTCAGGAAATGGGATTCCGGAATAAAATCAGGCTTTGGACAAGTATTGCTGGCGTTTAGTACGTAGCCAATATCGTTCTGCTGCATCAGCTCCTAGGAAAGAGAGAAAGATTAAGCCTAGAGAACTCAAACGGTACCTTTGGCACATTACAAAGAAACTATGAACCCAAAGCACATCATAAAGCTAAAACCCAAACTGGAATTCACGTTGGAATTGCTTCAGCTGTATTAAGAGCATTCTTTTTTGGGAAAAAAAAAAAAAAAAAAAAAAGTAAAGATACGACCTCTGCTTTTAATTCTTCAAACAACTTCTAATGAGACATCCAGCATGTCCATATAACATATAGACTGCAAAGCCCATATGAAAAAAGTTAACAAAGAACAGAAGTAATGGTAGAATTCCTTCTGCTGCTATGAAGCGTGGCTTCCAAGAGAATAAAGTTTTTTGCTTCTTCGGTTTAAATTCTCACCATGCAAGCTGACAAGACAACCAAACCCTTCCCACCCGTAGTTTGCTGGCCTGAATACATGTTTTCAGCATCACGTATCTAAGATTGAGGTTTGTCACCATCACGGGTATTGGTGACAAATATGAGATGAAACCAATGCCTCCTGCGGTCACCTGTTAAAATATCTGGGAATGCCTTGCTTTTAAGGCAGTGGTGCAAAGCTCACTCCAAATCTTGAGGGAAAGAGCTGAAGACTTTGAATCAGACCGTGTTCACACAGCACTAACTGCAGTTTTATAGGAGTTCCTCTTTGTGATTTAGTTGCTCACATTTCAGTTTTCAATCTTTAGTCTTCTTGCATCTCAGAGATTATCACAGCAACAAGGAAAGAGGCTTAAAGTGTAAGGATCAACTGGGCTTTTTAAATAAATAAATGTTCATGATTGCAAATTTAAAAAAAAAAAAAAGACACCTCTTTTCTGCACTTTGTCTCCTTCACGTAAGCATTTTGCCACAGAAAAGCAATTAAGCAGGTTGGAGTAACACTGATCAAACAACTTTTCTGGTTCAGATATGATTTGGCAGTAAGTGACACGCTATGCTTGCAGAGTAACACTGAATACAAACACTGGGGAGCTTTGGGCCAGATTTCTATGGAAACTAATGTCTGAAACATAAAAAGAGCCAAAAAACCTCCCCATTTTAATCCTTTTGCTTTTATAGCAATTATGTAAAAAATGAAAAATTAGTCAATCCATGGAAGCAGTAGCAAGACTGAATTCTTATACTGCAGATTTCAACTGGAGGTCTACCAGTATGAAAATGCAGTCATGAAGTCAAATGGTCACTTCTTCCACATATGTGTTATTTTTGCAAGTGTAAAGATGTTCTGGTGAAAAGAAATCACAGAATCACAGAATCTTCTAGGTTGCAAGGGACCTTAAAGATCATCTTGTCCAACCGTCAACCTCACTGACAAAAATAGACACCCACACAACAAACAAGGAGCATCATCACTAAACCAGACCTCCCAGCACCACATCAACCCGTCTTTTGAACCCCTCCAGGGATGGGGCCTCAACCCCCTCCCTGGGCAGCCCATTCCAATGCCTGAGAACCCTTTCCGTGAAAAAATTTTTCCTAATATCCAGCCTGAGCCTCCCCTGGTGCAACTTGAGGCCATTTCCTCTCGTCCTGTCGCCTGTGACTTGGGAGAAGAGACCGACCCCCATCTCTCTACACCCTCCTTTCAGGGAGTTGTAGAGAGCAATAAGGTCTCCCCTCAGCCTCCTCTTCTCCAGGCTGAACACCCCCAGCTCCCTCAGCCTCTCCTCATAAGACTTGTGCTCCAGACCCCTCACCAGCTTCGTTGCCCTCAATGTCTTTGGGGACATGGCTGTTCAGCTGAAGAACCAGAACTCTCACCTTGCTAGATCAGAGCAGCTTAAATAATGCCTGATATTTAGCATGCGGGTAACACTGCACGTGTGCTACGCTGTGTATGCAGAAAGGATGAATACTCACAAACAAAGGTATATAAGTGCACAAATTACGCGTTCAGCAAGAACAAAGGACTGCAGAGAAGGGAATCTACCTCAGTCATTTACAGAGGGAAGCGTATCCAAATGCCATGGAATGCATTTTAAACAGGGAATTTACATGAATTTCTGATAGCAAGATGGATTTTATTGTCTCGAGCAAAATGAGCAGCTCCTCCAAAATTTCATCCCAAGTCCCTCATGTCAGGACATTTGGAGGTACCTGAAGGTGTGGGCATCTTAAACTAATGAACATACGTTATATCATAAACGTACCAACAGGAGATGACCAGTTGCTTGCAAATGAAATAATCAGAAATATAATTTGCAGCAATGGTCAAAAAGGGAGGGGCGCTGACTGCGCCAAAACAAGCTCTCAGCTTTACTGCTCCTGACCCTGCTAGGTTCCAGGGTCACCCTCCCAGTAAAGCTCAGCTTCTCATCCATGAGAACAAATCCCAGTATGTCACTGGTTTCCCCCCTTCACATCTCCCCAACTCAACCAGCAAGCTCCTTTCAGCCCTGTGTGCCTTTCATAGCCGACTCCATCGCGCCTTCCTTCACTATATATATATATATATATATATATATATATATATATATAGCTTCCACCGATAGACCTGAAAGTTTAAAAGCAGGAGCGCTGTAAGGAAGCAGGGGAATATTTGGAATTATCGAGACAGGGAAAGTATTGGGAATGGGGTTCTTGGCACAGGGGACTAGCTACTAGTAGAGCTGTGGTACCTCCCGTGCGTGAGGGAGACCCCTGATCCCCAGCATCTCTGCCTCGCTGTCCTGGGCTACACAGCTTTCCCCTTATAGAATCCCAAGCTCTTCAGCATCAACTTCTGGAGAATAAGTATCTGCTTTAGGTCACTACGTTGAAATACTGCCCCCAAACCAGCTCCTCACCTACTGTTGTCACTGCTCCAAGGTGAGCGAGGAACAACTGGAATAGCAGGTACAGAAGAACGCGCGGGGCCACGAACAATAGAATATATAGGATATATAGAATATATATAGAATATATAGAATATATAAAGGAAGGAGGCAACGAAGGGATCGCTAACAAATGGACCGCGATGCCGCATTCTTGTTCAAAATATAGCTAAGGGATGCTGGGAGAATGATGATTACTTTAGAGGAAGAATAGAAAACCTTACTATTTCTTTTACAGCGTAAGCGCTGGTGGGCTGCACGGTCCAACCATCACGATTCCACAGTTATGCAAGGTTTTTGATGTGGAATTGATTATTCAAACGGGAACGAGAAGGCTGCAGACGCCAAGTCTGAACTCTCCGAGCCAAAAAACCACCCAAAAATGTGTTAGTGCTTGTCGCTGAGACTAAGGCTAAAGAAAGAAGTTATGCTTCCTTCTGTTCTAAAGTATCAATCATTCCCTGTGCAACACGCTCCAATATAATAACCATAACAGTGCCTCCATTGTAAGGCACCCAAGAGGAAGAAGTGAATTACGATGGGAGGAAGATCCAGAAATCCTAATACTAACAACTTTGTGAAGAGAAGGTAAATGCTCTTTTGTCAGCTTATTTACATTTTATGACTTGTTTAAACTGAAAATTAATGGCACCCTAAAATGTTATTTTGTTCCAGGAAATAAAATCCAGGTCTGGAAGAAAAGAAGGAGAATAGTTAGGTAAGTAGCAAAGCAGAAAGTTTTACAGTTTAAATGCTGGTACACAACACAAGATGTAAGCAGGAGGCTTCTTCGGGCCCATAACCACAACACAGATATTTTTTTTTTCTGTTATACTAACTTCCAGAAAGGACACTGTCACTGTAAGAATTTAGGTTAAGAGTTAGTTTGTTTTTCTTCCACAAAGGGCAACAAAGATCTGTAAAAGTAAGCTCCCTCTTGCAATGCCACACTGAGGTAACCACTTCTATATTACACCGAGACCCAAAAACTGAAAATGAACTTTTGAACTTTTCTGTTAGAACTTTTTAGTACTTCAACACTGCAAAATAACCACTATGAACTTTTTCAGAATTAAGCATTTGGAAATCTGTAAAGCAAAAATACAAAGAATCTCCTAAGACTTTTCTGAAGTAATCATTAATTTTGCTTAAGGACACAAACCAAGCATTTGTGTTTGAATATCTTTCATAAATAAAGTGTTAAAAGCAGAGGTATTAATGGCAAATAGTGTTTGTATTCTTAAAAGGTCATTGTCCTGCAACAAGACAAGCATTTCCCTACCCATGCACTCAGAGATAAGCTTATAAAGATCCTGAAAAGATAAGCATGCTGAAAATTAAATCATTAAATCATCAGGTTGAAGAGTAATGCAGATTAAGAGTTCATTTTGCAGGTATTTTTGAGACACTTAAATCTTAGAGAAATCAATACATCTGCTCAATGGAAAGAATCCTGGGAACTCAGAGATAGCATTGGCAGGCAAAAATAAAGTCAACATATATAACTACACCTTAATATTTTTGGGAATTTTCCAGAATGTTTTTTTAAAAAGAAGTCTGGACTTGAATGGAAAAAACCAACCCTATTCTAACCTTAAGAGAAGGTTGACTTCTTGTCCTCAGTAGCCAACAAACCAGCAAGGCCATTAAACCAGGTCATGCAAATATAACCACCCAACAGCTCCTGGACTGCCCTAAGAGAGACAGAACTTTGCTACTTATCCCTGGGTTTTGTGTCTCACCCTCTCCTTTTCAATGTTCTTCACTTCCCAGCTTTCTGACCACGTGTTGGTATTTCTGGGCGCTCGTTGTAGCAAGAGACACCCTCTTGCTCTCTCCCAGTACCCCTCTGTAGGATCCAGGCCTCCCCAGAAGCAAAGCAAGCAGCAGAGCTCTGCCAGTCGTGTTTCCAGCACGTTGATCTTTAGCGACCACAGACGTTGAGTGGAATCAAGAAACTGATTAAACTCAGGAAAACTGGGAGTTGCCGATAGCTGGGAAAACATTGACTGGATTCTAAGAGGCAGAAATCGTAATTCATTTGTTCTCACAGCTTCTTTAGGTTAATAAAGGCAGCATTATTAAAGACGGAAGCCGTTTCAGATTTTCCCCAGGCACTCACTCAAACTGAAGAGGTCAGATAAGCTACCAAGACACTAAGGTCTACTTTGGTGCAGCAAACAATTGACGTGCTCCAAATAAAACATTGCCTGCCATTTCTTCAAAGAGGACACAGGTACAATCAACAAGCAGATCTGCTTTGTAAGATGTGGTTTTGTCCTTAAACGAGTAAGAAACCTAAGAGGTACCTCAGTCACCTATGGAAGAACTTCCGAAAGACTGACTGCCAAGGCTAACACCAGGTGATAAGAACTCGCTGAACTTTCCATGGGTTGTATGCTGTCGTTTTGGTGGTTCTCCATTAAAAAAAAAAAGGGAAATACGGCAATCCTTGATCGTAACTTCCCAGGACATGTGAGGAAGTACAAATCTGACCAACTGCTGGGGGTCCTACATTATTTCTAAACTATCTGCAGTGCTTCCTGCAGCGGGACCGCTTCCCACCAGTGTCCACCTGATGGGACACATGCCAAAATAACATCAAGACACCAGATTAGCTGGCAAGAGAGCCACCACCAAGTCTAAACTCTTCCTGTAGATGGCTCTGCCACACTTAGGGCTCACCAGTAGTGTTTTAGCCTTCTCCAGCCCTGTAATGAAATTCCTGACCACTGCTACCACTTGGATTCCTTTCCTGGTGAGGCACACACGCTGTGCCTGTGCCCAACACCTATTCATAGGCACCAATTTACTGCAAGGAAAGGGAACAGCCTCTTTCATCCCTCTGGGATTATTCACCACACTGGAGTTCCAGTCACATCCCAAATGAAGCAGCACATCCCCAGCTCTGGAGCAAAACCAGGAGAACAAGGAGCCCCCTCACTGCCGCTATGAGCTGGGATAGCACTTGCCATTCACACTTTGAAACAAATAGCATAAAAGCATTTTTTTAATATTCTGCCATTTAAAGTAAGGATTTATTTATTTATTTATTTATTTTTAATTACTTAGTTCCTGCTGTCTTTTGTCTGGGGACCACAAATTGCTTTTGTGGTAGGAAAAGTAATAAGCTGCTTTGACATCCATCATAAGCGCATGAAGTTTGACTTGCCACCTGGCAGTAAAGACATGGAAGATTTTAAAACCCAAAGTAAGCACAATGAGTGCTGACTGTCCTCCAAGCAAAAGATTTTTCTCTGTGCTCTCTTAAAGCACAATTACCTTCTATGTGATTGCTTGTGTGTCAAAAGATCCCCTTAAAACAATTTTGAAAAATCAAAACATAGCCTATTAATGGCCAGACTGGGACAGAGTGAAAGTAAAAGAAAGCAGTGAAAATTATGATAATGGTCCGAGTATATGAATTTGATCCAATTACAGGACTATTAGGATAGTTCCTGAGCTTTATATGTGGATAAAAAGCATACACATGAGCCTTGCACATAGTTAAGGCAATATGCTAGGGTGAAGCTCTCCTCCCCTCTCCCCCATCCATGTATTTAATGCCAGCGTATGAAGGCTGTTGGAGATTTAACTAAGAAATAGGACCGACAGATAATACGGGAGGCAAGAGGGCACATGCAGCAGAAGTAATGAAGATTCCCTTGTCAATAGTCTGAAGATGCAGAGGGTAAGCAATATGAGTTGGTCTCCTCATGAGGGCAAACATGTCTGGATATACATATATACATGTAGCTCTTTTAGACATCTGATAGTCCAGCACCCTACAAGTGCTATACTTGATGATTTTCTGGACTATTTTAAGTATACCAAAATATCCTGGGCTACTCTTCAGAAACAGAAATTATTAAATGCACATGTATTTAGAAACAGTAAAAGTTTCTTAGCACAGTGCTACCATAAAACCTCATTTTAACTGACCCTACTGATTGTCCAGGTCTGAACATTTTATTAGGTGTACAAAGATTTGTTTGCAGTAGTCCCTGATTATACAATTCATGGTATTTAAGTGCTATTTTTTTCCAGCCCTTGAAGGAAATACCAAAAACCAAACAATCTTCCTTTGTCCTACTGTAATCATTAATATATTAACGTCCAAGGCTCGCCAAAACAAACCAGTCAGAGCTATACACAGGAAACTACCTCACCTATTGTAATGGTAGATGTGATAGTTTGCTGTTGGTTGATAGGTTACTGAGGAAGGTACCATATCATCTCTGAGATGAAGGAGAGATGAGACCAAGTTTCATAGTACTTGACACATGGATTAACACATAGGTTTCCATGGCTTATGCACACACAGCTATTATCTGTATCTGCTTTAGATGTTTTATAGCTGTAATGATGCGGTATGATAGAAGCACGGATGAAGACATGTGGAAACCTCACCTTGTTGAGGACATCCCGCTGACACCCAAGATAGAGATGAGGCAGGATTCTGGTTGGACCAATGTTGGAGACAGGTAGGCAGGGTTGAGAAATGCAAGTAGGGACGAGTGTGGATTTTCCTTCGCAGAGACCGGGGAAAGAGCTGGAGAACTCAGCAAATCCACCTGTGAGAGGAACAGTATGTATTTAATTCACATGCCGTGTTGTAGGCGTCGGTGCCCATACCAGTTCTTGGAAAGCAGCACTCGTTGCAGGAGATGGGGAGGGTTTGGGGGCAGCAGGAAAGCCTTAACAGAAGAACTGTACATGTGCCTCCTCCACGACTACCACCACTGTGCGGAACCATCCATCAGTAGAGAAGGCCTGGCTTCGTTTTTCCACTCTGCCTGGAAAGTTTATTTCTCTCTCTCTCTCCATTCCTAGGAAGTTTTTGATGCTTCTTCCCATTCTTAATGGTATGTGGAAATGAGACTTAAAAAAAACCAGCCACAACAGCTGCCACACCAAAAGCACACACACCTTTTCCTCTCTGCCCCAGCAAGCTGTTTTCTAAACAACTCCTTCTCCTGTATTAGGTCTATAATTAGACCTCATTAAGAAAAAGTCGTGTTTACTCAATTTGGTAAAAGCATCAATATGTGGTTATTAACATTTACTTTTAAAACCCTACATTGTTATTTTCTACGCTGCTCCATAATTTCATCCAACCCACCGGAAGAGGTTTCATCTTTCAAAACCACACCAAGCCAAGGCTTCTCCATCTCAAGTTGGGGAGGCAGAGAAAGGACTACAGGGGAAGGCTTCACCCAGCCATGGGCTCCCCTAGCAAATCACCACAAGTCTCTACTCCCTTTACAGCCGGTTGGTTCTTCATCTGCACCAGTTATTAGGTCCTATCCATGTTATGGACCCATCCATATTATGGCCCCAAAACATTTTCATCACCATTTCCCACCACTGCATTAGACCACTCAGAAAAACTAGAGCGGAATGACTGATACAAACTTGAATCCACCTAAAATCCCAGTGGCCACCAAAAATGCTCCTAGACTGTGTTTCCGTCAGCATGGCACAGCTGCTATGGAACATGAAGGGAATAAAAGCGAGGCTGAGACTGCTCTAGACACAAATACAACACAGCTCAAGCTTCATTTCTTTTTCTTGCTCCTCTGGCTCCTGGCTGCCCTCCATGGCAAGGGCTGTGTTACAAACCCGTGCTACCAACTGTGGACCAACTGGCCGTACCCACAGTTAGAACACAAAACCGAAGGAACCTCCAGTGACGAACTTAGACTTTGACTAAACCTGTTCTCACAAAAGCTAACTAGTTTTTTCCAAGCCTAGTTAAACCCCAAGCTCAGCTCATTCTCATAGTTCATCTTTGCAAACTAGTTTGAAGAAAAATCCAGTGGCAGTTGCTTAAATCAGTGTCTCCTAGCATTTTCTTGACTGTTTTCACCAGTTAACAGCCAGCCAGTAAGGGTGAAGGGTGCAAACCGTAGCGAAAGTCCCCAGCTATTTCCTCAAGTTAAAGCACAGAGACAAGTGGAATTTTAAGTGAAGGAAGAGTAATTATAACCTGTTCAGAACAAGGCACCTTTTTATCATCAAGGAAGTGAAGTCTTAATGTGCTAAATCTGCCAAATGCTATGCTCGCTATTATTACAGTTTGAAGACTTGAATTAAAATTATTCAGGAATAAGATAATGTACTGTTTTGTCAAGGCTTGCATTACCATCGCCTGAATTATACCTATCCTTTGGATTTTAAAATCTGTGTCTTTAGTAAATGTCGACAAAAACCAGGCCATTTTATCTGATCAACAAAAAAGCCAACAAGCAGTATTCAGAACAAAAGTTTCATGAGCAGCGATTCCTGTTCAGTCTCCCGACTTACCAATAAAAAAAAAAAAAAAAATCACTTGTCTATTTTGTTAGCTAAGCGATTTCAGACATCTATGACAGTGCTCATCATGAGAATAGGAGAGTGAGGTTGGGCTGCAGGGGCTGAGCGGGAGGGATGCTAAACTGAGGCACTGCCCGTCAGACAGCCATGCCCCTAGACTGAAGGGCTTAGGCTAGGGACCCTGTAAAGGTTTGGCTCCAACATTTTCTATTCCTGTTAGCTGGATCTCCTCCTCCTCGCTTTACAACAGCTCTGTTCAGGAACGCAGATGCTGCATGTTCAACGTTGTTATGGTTTGAGAGAACCCATAACAATCTCTTGTCGTTTAGACAATCATTCTATCACCCAATGACCCCTCCCCACCCGGAAAGGGGAATCGGGGAACACAAAGAAACACAAGGGCTGAAATATAAATAGATTTAATAGACTAATAATTAACAATAATACTAAAGAGCCAGTATTAATCCCAATACTGATCTAAGATATCCAAGAATTATCCCCAGCCCATTCTCTCAGCAGAAGCCGTGCACTCCCAGCAGGGACAGCAAATGGCGGACACGGCCAGCGCAATGGCTTCAGGAGGAAGGGAAGGCCTCAGGGCTCCGGCACCGGGGCAAGGAGTTGTCTGGACCCGCTGCCATCAAGGGAGAGAGAGCTCTGCAGCAAACTTTTCTAATTGATATTGAATGTGACCTTCATGGTAGGAAATAATCCTGTTGGCAGCCTGGGTCAAATGCCCAGGCCTTGCTCCTCCTCGTCCCTGCGCCTGGCAAGGCTCAAAAACACTAACTTTGAATCCCACAGAGCCTGGCTGGCTGTAAAGTAAATATTTTCACAAATTCAGACACTAGAGTCTTCTAGAAGTGCAATTTTCCCCAGCATTAGAAGAAAAGTTAGTCCTGTGTCTCTCAGCCCAGGAGAAATGTATCAATTGAATGACAGAAGGAGTTGGCAAAAAAAAGAAATTATCTCACACACTTGCTAAATTTTCGTCTGCGTGGCATAAAGTTTCCCCCTCTGTTATAGGAAGCAATCCTTGAATTCATAAGCATTATACGCCTCTAAGATTAAATTTAATGTAAGATACAGTGCCCAGCAGTTCCTTGAGAGGTTGGGGGAAGAAGGGGAAATCGAATATTGGTCTTTGGTTTCATTTGCTTATTCTTTACTCCTTGTGAAGCCTGTTGGCTGCTTTCTGGAGCCACTCTCTGACACAGCTAGAAAGAGAGAAGTGACTCTTCTTCCTGACAAAGCAGCAGCACAAGCACAAAGAAAAGATTTTACATCTGTGCTTCCTTTGCAAAACACTACACGGGCAGTCTAACAATAACAAAAAAAGAGTTTTCCCAACTACATAGGGACTGGTATCACTTCTGTATGAACAATGCAACAAGAAATTAAGCAAGAAACTAATATGCAAAAAAACCTGAGATTTTTTGGGAGATGGAACCCACGCTCTGTCATCTTAAGTGTAAGGAGCAATTTTTTATTTTATTTTTATTCTAGGGCTCTGTCAAGGCAAGCTTGAAGTGATTCAAGATTAGATGCTTCAGCACTTCCTCTGGGACATCCATCACTTCAAAATCATGTTTCTTCTTTCTACTCGTGCCTTCCTAGTAAGATGTTGCTTCAGCATCTTTACAACATGAATTACAACCACAAAACTCTCAAATTGGGTAAGTCTGACATATTACCTATCTTTACAGAGGCTATCAAATCAATTCGCTTTTCCTTTGAATATATTTTAACCTGGTATTAGTATCAATAGTGAACTTACTTAAAAAACATGAAACAGGTGACTTATTTCAAATATTAATCTATTTTCCCTGCCATCTTCTATTTCAAAATGTTAATGGCTTTTCAACAAATCTGGCTTTGATTTATGGAACTCACAATAGGAAAAAACGTTCTAGATCAGCCTATGTTGAAAAAATGCTTTAAAAAAAATCCCACAAAGAAAAAAAAACCCATACCAACAAAACACATTCTTGTATGTGTCCTGCTAAACTAGCAAATTCTTCTAGAATAACAGCATCCATGCATACGATGACTGAGCTGTTGTGCCATTATGAGCCTAACTTCTGTTCTAAGGAAATGCACTCACGACTATTTTCTTGTATTGACTTACAAAATACATCTATTTATTTTAGATAGATAGATAGATTAAAAAAAAATAACAGCACCTAAAGATGTGCAGAAAAAAAGGCATTTATCTTTTTGAACACAGATTATGGCCCCTATGAGTCCCCAAAGCTGAAGTCTACACACAGTCTACATGAGGAGCCTTTTGGGAGAAAAGTCTTTAAGCACTCAGCCTACCTGTACACTTCTGCTGTAAATGAAGCAGACTGTCCTCAAAAAACAAACTTTAAACATTTAGAAAATTCGTTTAGTGTTCAGGTGGGAATGCAGAATAGAAAACTGTGCCTTAAAAGAAAGATGGGACTGATTTAGTTTCAAATTCCGTAATTTGAGGATGACCTTTGCATCAAAGGAAATTTCATCTTGAAACATCCTTACCTACCTCAGTTGGAACAGGGCTACTGGCAGCACCGTGCAGTTTGTTTTAATAAAAGAAAATACACTTTTCTTCTGGAGCTAGTTTCTAAATAACACCCTTTCTCCCACTACTACTCCAGCTTCTGCAAATAATAAATCAATCAGAACAGCATGTTGAAAATGTGGGGAAAAAAAAAAAATCTACAGGTTATTAGCGGAGCTACTGGGTTGATAAACTTTCACTGAAGTCTTTGACAAATGTAACTTGGCCCTGGAAATAGATGACTGACAAATAACTCCAAAATATTATTTCCTAAATAGGTTATGAACCATGCAGGTTTTCTGTAGTCTTGATGGCGAAGCTGATGGAACAGCTCTTGCAACATTCAACAGGGTGAAACCACTCCTTGTCTATTTGAATGTTATGGACAAAGGAAGGCAGAAAGGAAGTCATTTTTATGTATTGTGCATATATCTATACATTTTTGCTTATGTTTAAAAAGGTCTCCCCTTTTTCTCTACTTTTTCTGATACTGATGAATTAAATGGAAGACTCTTCCATCACCACTCATGCAATAGTTCCATTATATCTGAAAACTTTGATGGTCAGGCAGGATAAGCAGCACAATGCATCTCCTTTTTCAGTTTTAAATAGCTGGTTGCTTCTGTCATAGACTGCACATATGTAAGTCATTGTATCCTTTGGCTGGTAGCAAGTAGCTAACAGTACTCAAAGTCTGTCTCACTTGCGTAATAGCCC